ATAATAAAAGGCCCCCGGGTCTTCTATTATGAATTTCATATCATATTCCAAAAGGGTCTTCTATTACGGGAGATCTTCTAATATGAATTTCTGTGCACAAACGCCCAGAAAGATAATATATTCTCTCTCCATGAACAGAAACCCTTACTGTCTTCTTTTATTTTATGATTCTGTCGTCGACAAGACATCATTTTGCAGAAATAATATTTGTACAAATAATTCTAAGAAAATTTCGATGAAGAATGTATTACAAGACCCGGGTCTTCTGTTATGAATTTCACATAATATTACAAAAGGGGTCTTCTTTTATGGGAGGGTCTTGTAATATATGGGGGTCTTCTATTATGAGGGGGGGTTTATTTGGTATTGATAACAACGAAAATCAGAACGTAATAACTTTTAATCCAAACTAAAATGGCTTCATGATTTTCTTTTTTGAAGAAAAAAATTTACAAATATACAATTAAGGGACTAAAAATTCTGAAATAAAAGACCAACTTTATTTGAAAACTGTAGAATACAAATTTTCTTTTCTATCAATATGACTTGCAAAAAAAAACGTGGTTGTGTTTTGAATTTAATATATTTCTCAAGACTTTCTTTTATGACAAATTATAGCATCTTAGAGTATGTGTCTTGAGCGTTTGTAATAGCTGAATGTCCTGTGTTGTCTAATGTTCTAGAAGATATTCGTTCGTGTAGTTATTTTCTTTTTCTGACTATTTTACGAGCACATACATGTTTCTTCACTCTTGATTTTCCTGAATATTCAACAACTGACATAATGTACGAACGTTTGAACTATTCTATAACAAATTATTCGACTATTAATGTGATAGTATGGTAGACAACGAATTAAATTCAACAAAACTAAATGATGATGTACCTTTTATTAGACAGTAACCAACATTTCTAGCAACACTTCTGGAAGGAAATTCTCCTTTTAAAGAAAATAAGCTTTACTGACTATTAACTTTGTTTTTATGATTAAGCTTTGCATACTGAGATAATCAAAATGATGTTGCAATTCGAAAACGTTTTTGAATATACAAGATAGTTTGAGAAGAGTCATGAAACTAAGTCAAGTTCATCAAAATAAGTACACTTTTACATTGAAGAGGAAAACATGAAGCATGATAAGCATCACAAATTATACAAAACCTACTACGATTTAATCATTGATGATCAGGAAATGAATTCTTATCTAAATAGTAAGTATAGATACTGCAGGATCAGCACCCGCTGTGTTTCGGTACTTGTCGATGAAATACAGTAATTAGATGTTGCACCCTCATGTATCTGAAACTACATCCACTCTTTTTTTTATGTTATAAAAAATTGAGAAAATAACTATAGTGATGATATTTGTAGTGTAAAGAATATTTTTTGGAATGGTATGTAGGAAGTTTAGCTGATTCTTTGTTTTTTAAAATAAACGAAGAAATAAATTGTCACTTAACAATAATTTATGTAAACCCAATCAATTTTTCTCTGATGTAAATAACTTGAAAAAAATTATAGAAACTACAGATAAGATGACGCATGGCAATGATTCTACTAACTAATGTCTTATCTCAAATTAATCAATGAAATTTCATTTTGAATCTTTGAACGAAGTCTAGAGAAGATTCTTAGTTAGCACAATGTTATTATAAAAACCTTAGTTCTTTTATTAATATTAAACATTAATGAGAAAATAGCATATGTTTGTACACTTTACTCATAGCATTTTATTTAAGTTTTTGGCTCGATTTACTTTGTAATATGATATTTATGTCATACGATAACACAATATATGACAGTATTGAAATTAATAAAATTTATTTTACTGTTTGTTTTATATTCAGCCACATTTAAGCTATCAAGAAAACTAACGGCCCTGCTTATCATTCTGTGGTTGTTGTTTAATGTATGGGAACATCATATGAATAACGCTTTGGTCATTGTCACATCTAGTAGAAAGTATTAAGATGAGAAAGGTAAAGTTGTGAATTTATACATACTCCGCGATGAATTCATCTCTAGAAAATTTTCCATCACCATTTTTATCGAGTTTTTTAATTATATTTTTGGCAAGTTCCTTAGGTTCTCGATCACCTATACGATTGGTTTCACCGACGAGATCATACTGAAAAAAACACTCATCCGTGCAATAAATTAAGACAAAGTAAAAAAAAACATGCTGCTTTTTACCATAACCACAATAAACGTAGCTAATTCTTTTTCATCCATATTCTTATCACCCGAAATATCGTACCTAATGAAAGCAATTTTAATTTCAACAATTCATGACATAATCTTCTGAGTTACATATCAAAGACGAGTTCCAGTCGACTTTTCAATTCACCTTGTGTCGAAGGAGAAATAGCTAGAAGAAATTCCTTAAAGCTAATTGTCTTATTACCATCTTCATCGAACATTCGAAATACATAACTTTATCATAGAATAAAATAGCAAGATATACATATGTTATAAGTATAATCATACTTGCAGAATAAATTGGCTTTATTTTCATCCCGTAGATAAAAGTTTTGGAAAATACGAATAAATGTTTTCTTGTCAAGCTGACCATTCGGACAATCATGCAGAAAACCCTTGAGAATGGAGATGCGACAAGATATTACATTTCAAAGTGCACCGTAACTTACTGCATGCCATTCTCGAATTTCTAAATGATACGACACATTAAATACATAAATTTCTCAAAAATATGTGATAATTACCCTTCTCACTAAATTTGGTTTTCTCTTTCAGTTCCTCTAGTTCTATATACCAATAGAAATCGAAAACAGTATAGAAACAAAATAAATAATTGACCTTTTTTTTCAAGTTCTTTGTAGGTATGATCCTGCTTGGTTCCGCTGTTTCCCATAACTGAACGCGTTTATGTTTCTTAATAACAGAATAATTAACAAAGAAGATAATCTAAAAGACAAATTAGTTCAAAAAAGCCGAATTGTACTTGTTATTCAACACTATAGTCAATAATTAGAAACACTCGATTATCTAAAAAGAATGCTGTTTTTGTTTCGATTGTGGCCTAGACATCTAATATATATACTCCTTGTGTCAATCGGCATATTATCCTATATGATATCTTTTCTTTCTCACTGTGCTCTTGTACAATCAATGATACATAGCGTTCATAATCGCGTTACTCTTACGTTTATCTATGCATGGTTGAACCTTGTTCTCTTTCTGTCGTAATGCGCTTCTCATTCTATATCACCATTCACTCGTATATAATATGTATTGTTACTCTATTGTTCTTCTATATCTGTTCTCTCCTTGGCCTCATCACTTGTTCATTCTTACATTGTTCTCTCCTTGACTTCATCATCTTTCTTTTCATCAACTATTGTTCTGCTCGTGTATATAAACATGTGCTTTATATGTAAACGATACGATTGTATAATATGAGGGAATAGAATAAAGTGTAATATCATCAACACTAACATCCCTTGTATCATTGATTGTCACAAGACGATTAAATGATAGGAAGGGATAAAATAAAGTGTATCACCATCTCAACACTAATGTTCCTTCTATTATCATTTCTCGTTACACTGCTTGTGTTCGATTATTGCTCGGTTAAACGACTCAGCACAAGTGGTCTCTATACATAAATGTTCCATCTGTCTCACAAATTATTCGAGTCAAAAAAACAAGTGTTTCAGGTACCTTAAAAGTAGCTCAATAAAATTTATCCTGTAAATTGCAGACTATGTATTGTTGCTGTTGATGAAATAATACTAAAGGTTAGAAATATCCTTTACTTCTTCTAGTTTCTAGCTTCTGTTACGGAGACTATTTTTTAGATTCATGAAATAATAGTCTCTGATAGAATCATCGTTTGGACAGTATTATCCAATTGAATGATGCTAAAATGTTCGACGTAGCAATTCATGCTGCCACTGTGGAAATAATGCAGCTTATGTCATATTTTTTAATACATATAGTTTGCAAACACTGTATTGAAATTCATGAAATAAGTTGCGTTATCATGTGAGAGCAGCATTGCTCGACTACTTGTGAAATGATCACCTGATGTTTCTAGATTTAAAATTTATAAAAGATATTTGCTATTGAGAAATAATAAATTTATGGTAACCATCGCTTAATCATTGTTTTCAGAATTTATGAGTTGAACCGATAATTTTATAGAGCGAAATCTTATTGCTTTTGTCTGATTGAAAAACGATTAGTTTTTCTTTATGTTCATCCTACACGATCACGGATAACATCAGTCTGCACAGGTTACCCTATTAAATAATTGATAGAGCAAACTGTACATATAGAGATGGTATTTAAATTGATATAAACAACGCAATATCTGAGAGAAATCATTGTTTTTATCAATAAGTTTATTGATTGAGTCAGTGCTGAAGTCAGCAAAAGTAAGCTGCTTATTTTACAGTGCGGATATGTTCATCTCGGTTGTCACGAAGAATTAGATATTTTTTTTTCTAAAGAAATGCTATCTTCGATGTTGAACTATTTGCTTTTTCTTTAGTGAGGTGTTATTCTCTTCATTCTTCTTGTCGTGACTTCAACCAAACAATGCCTATCTCTAAAAATAGTTGAGAGCTAACATGAGTGTCTTTCAACAACAATAACAATACTAGGTCTCCAAGGGAGAGGAGTACGATTGAATCAGATAGGAAAGTTCTAATCTTTATAAAAATTAAATTATATCATAGGCACTTAGTAAGTTGGCTACATATGTTTGCATTTTCGCCATAATTATGTCTTATACTCTGCGTTAATTTTCATGCTTATGATCGTAAACATGTAGTAGTAGTGAGAGTCCGTGTATGTGGCACGGCGGCGTGTTTTTTCTTTTTTAATATACGATCTCAAAACTTTAACCTTTCGTTCAGTAACATACCCTGAACATTATATACGCAGAGGCCCTATGATATTATACTCTTATATCACGAATAGCCTATGTAGTTTGGGGACCTTGTAGCTTTATTCTCTTTTAATCTTACTCGACCTTTAACTTTCAACTTTTGACTCGACAGAAAAACACACATACACTGCGCATTATCTGTATAGATTTCATAACAACATCATTGCTATCCATAAGCCAGAAACTCTGGTCCAGGATTACAGCAAAATACAGTCCGTTTATGCACTGTATTTGGCCTCTGTATGTTCATATGGGAACCGCATGCTTCGACATAGATAACTAAGAGATCAGAAAAGCAGACTCTGTTTTTATCATAAGAAAAAAGACCATAATCCATTTAAAGTTGTTCAGTCCAATCCATTACATTTGGTGACTTGTATTTTAAATAAAATATTACAAACATGAGGGTCAGTTTCTGAAACAATCATCTGAAGAAGTTAGTGCTAACTGCGATAAATTATCCACCACGTATTTAAGTTTTCTTGTTGGACAAAATAATATTCCAACCAGCTGGTAAACCTCTGACATACTCATCGTCCTCTATTAATACCCATGCTAGAGCAGCAAGACAGATTAATATCAACGTGATAAGAATAACATAGGTTAAAGCTGCTAGGCTCACTACATACTGCGATATGACAACAACGGCAGTGAAGAAGCCTACTGGTATTAGAACAAAGAATATCAAACATATTATAGCGGCAGCCGGATGTTGATACCGAGATGGACGAAAGTTTTGACAATTATGAAATACTTCACAGTTACAGCAGCAAGTTGATTGGTTGATTCTATTGTTGCCAACAGTTTTTAGCATGATACGACCTATGCCAGCTGCAACTCCTAAGCGAGGTTGAAATGCAAAAAGTAATAGACGCATGACGCTTCGAACAACGGAACCAAAAGAAGTCAATAAACCTGCACTAGCGCCAATTTGTAACAGGAATTCCGATAGTGTGAAATCAAGCACAACCCACCGAAAGCATGTAGCACTATTAGTGTCTAATGAAGAAGGAATATAGTTGCCAGGTTCACATGAAAAATACGTTAAGTTTGAACCATAGAAACATTCCATTAGACCATAATAAGGACAAAAACTGTTTCGAAAAACAGTTGTATTAAATAAAAAACAGGTGTTGAAAATACAAATAACGACGGATGAGATAACAATAGTGGTGATGATCATTATTATAACTATATTCCTTTTTTTATGTAAAGCAAGAAACTTGCCATACAAGTCCAGTACTTCTCGTTCATACTCAGGATGTGATGGGTTTTCTCGTGGGATGATTTCTTTTGTGTCGTTTTTGGATTGTTTTAACGAGGTCCTGGCACTCACGGTGTCTTTCTTTGTGAAACAGTCCCCAGTAGGTTTATCATTGTTACTTGTCGAATCCACGCCTTCCTCTGCATTGATAGTGCCTGAATGGACCCGAGCGGATCCAACATTCAAACTATCGCATAATCCGTTCTCTTGATCCATAATGTATCCGCAACAGCTACATATTGTTCCAACAAAATCACACCGTTTCGTCATATTCTCACTTAATACAGCTATTTCGGAATTTCTTCGAATATTGGTGTGATGTGCATCAATTATACACCGTTCAATATTAAAAAGTTTCGCCACGATAGTGAAGAATAAAGTATCAAAGCGCCACAGGATAAAAATCAAAATCAATAAAGTAGATAGAATTATACCAATGCTGATAAAAACATCACAAAGAATCCAATCCCAGAAAGTCCAAGCCATGAGTGAAAGGAAAGAGATTATCTAGAGAACAAGTTATAACGGTTTGAGTGCGGGTGGGTGTCGGTGCCAGCGTGGGTGTGGGCGTGGATGTTGATGAGTGGAACTGCGTGCTATGCCTGTGGGGTGTTGGCTAGGAGGCTAGTCGTACTCGCGCTCACACACCCACACTCATACCCATGGCAATATTCCTCACCCACACCCACACACCCACCAACCACAAATAAAACAGATCTTGCGAAAAATGTTCAGTGACAGTCTTAAAAATATTCATTCATATTGCAACTCAGATGAGAATACAGTACACATCGAAAATCCAATCAAGAACGCTCCAGATGTAACTGTAACTTCGAAAAGAAAAGCTTACAAACTTTGGATATCAGAGCATACGTTGAACCTCGCTCATGGAAAAAGGAAATAAAAAGAAACAAAATATATGTCTGGGGACAATACTAAAATCTAAAAAATCCTGTGTAATCTTGTCAAGAAGTCAACAAGGCAGGGAAAGAAAAATAGATACAAAATAAATGCAAAAAAAACCGAAAAAGGGATGAAAATCAATAACATCAGGCACGCTTACATCGCAACAATTATGCTAAAGAAGTATGTGCCAAAACTAACAGTGATAAAAGACCAAAATGGCAGCACGCTGCGGTCAAAAGAACCCGTGATACAGAAATGGATCCAGTAATCTCGTGACCTATCTATAGATCGAAGACACGTAGATGAAGTGGTGAAAGAACTTGAGTCAATAATTCCTT